ATATACACACACACGTTTCAGGAAAAAGCCATTCAATAAGAGAAATGTATACTTTCAGCATTTCTGCTGTTCTCCTTGAAGAAATACTGCTGCAAATTGAAAGAAAGAAAGAAAACAAGCAAACAAACAAAACCATTCATACAGAGAAATTGTTTTGTATAATGCCGGTTATATGAAGGTTCTGCTGTTTGCGTACATGTGTTTGTTCATTATGCCCTATTCAGTGACTTTCAACCAGTTTCATGTTCCAAACCTTGACATTTCATGAAAACATGGTCCCCATAGAGCTCCATGCACATTACAGACTCTTCATCTACACTTTCTCCTCACCTGGGTGATGTTTTCACCTCGGTCTCTTTCGCTGACGCTTCTTGAGTTTTCAAAGAACCCGCTTGATGGATTCTCAATGCGATTATAGTGGAATTGATCAGCGCTGCTAATTTGTTAAAAGCATGTTTAGATGTTGACAGCACATGGCTTTGAAGTTGGTTAGATAAAAATCGAAGATTATTTAAAGAGCTCATGAAACCTTTTTGTAAAAGTTATAGAGCACTGCAGAGATTACATCCCTTACAAAAACTAAGTATAGGCTACTAAATTGGCCCACCTTTTAGTGTAAAAAGTGTCAAATTAAAGGGACAGTTCATTTTGAAATGAATTTTTGATATGTTTTAGCTTACCTCAAGAGAATCCAAGATGTAGGTGTCTTTGTTTACACAGTATTTTCGATTTTGACATTTTTAGGTCAAACTGTTCTTGTCTCCCAGTCATATAATGGAGGTTTATGGGGTCCACCTCAAAGAGCATGCACAGAGAAGTCCAAATTAAACATGATTTAATGACTCATAAATGTAAGTACACATTGATGGCCTAAGACACGAAACGAGCGGTTTGTGTGAGAAAACGAACAGTATTTATATCGTTTTTACCTCTTGTAATCACAGCCACGTCCAAGTGATCTGAGGACACAGGCGCTTCGGTCTGCGCAAGCGCTGGAAAGCCCTGGAAGTGATCTCTTCGAATTTGGACTTCTCTGTGCATGCTCTTTGAGGTGGTGACCATAGACCTCCATTATATGACTGACAGACAACAACGGTTTGACCTAAAAATATCAAAATTGAAAACACTGTGGAAACAAAGACACCTACATCTTGGATGCCCTTGAGGTAAGCTAAAACATATCAAAAATTCATTTCAAAGTGAACTATCCCTTTCAACTTTTAAGTTAAGTTTAAGTGTACTTGGAGTTCATTTGTTTAGGTTTAGAGTTAGAAGTTTTGCATTTGTACTGTAACTACTACAATTGAACTTATTGGTAAACTGATAGTCATAATCGTAGCACATTTTTTAGTTAATGAAAGTACACTTTAAACTGTAAAAAAAAAATTATGGTTTAACTTAAAAAAGTAAGTAACCTGGGTTGCCTTAAAATTTTAAGTTCATTGAACTGGAAAAAGTGAGTTAATACAATGAAGGAGATTAATTTAACCATCAGAAACTCAAAATAATAAGTTATCTCAACTAAATAAATTATTATAAAGTTGATTTGACAAAAAAAAATATGTTGTGATAACAAACCTTGAAAATATTTTTACAGTAAAGTATACTCTATATACTTATATACCTATAAGTATACTCTACTTTTACAGTGTAAAGTATACTACTGGTTTAGTGGTTTTAAACAGCAAGTATACTTGTAAGATCACATTATACTTTATAAGAAAGTATGTAAAACATTTACTAGGCCACTAAATCAAAAGATGTAACCACTACAAGTCAAGTGTACTTAAAATACCTAATTATACTTTTAAAAAAGCTTACCAAAACCAAAGCTTAGCTTACCAAGCTTGCCAAACACACTTAGACTTCTCTGTCAGAATAAGTCAAGTATACTTCAGCATCAAGTATTCTTAAGTGTAGTTTTAAGTATATTTCTGAGAAGTACATAAAAAGTAGACTGAAAGTACTTTCTTATTTTTAATAAAAAGTGCATACTTCTATGTCTATAGAACCAATAGCATACTTAAAAAAAAAAAAAAACTTTTTTACGTAAGGAATATTTTTTGTTGAGTTAGCATCACAAGTGGTTCCCTTAACAAAACCCGCCAAAAGGATTTTTCCATTGTCTTTTGAATGATTGAAGAGAGATCTCCACCAATCAACAACTATAATGAATTAAAGCTTAAATACATACATCATCGTTTTAAAACATTTTCAATGAGAGTTTGAGTAAGAATAGTTTGCAAGAGCGTGATTATAAACACGACGAGGCCATGTCCGTGAAAGCGTACTAATGAGCAGATGTTCACCTGATGACTTTTAATGTCAACCTCCCATCAGCATTTACGTTATTCAAGAAACAAAACTGGTATCAGTACCAGTGATGGAGCAAAGGCAATGTAGACTGGAACTGATGCAGTTTGGGATGGATAACAAAGGATAATGAGTAAGAGACTGGCTGCAGTGTTAGATATCTACTCATTACGTGTGTGTCCATGGTCCTTCACACCAATAACCTTGTAAGCAGCCCACCCTCGCTTCTAACAAGAGAGGAAAATCGAAGAATTTCTTGTTTTATAAGCAGTGTGTCAGCTTTTTCTTTCTGCTCTGGAACTAATAGTTTTCCGCACAAACACATACCGAAACACTGTGTCTTGTATTTTAGTGTCTTGCACCCAAATAGCTGTATTTATTGTATTTAGTTTTGCATAGACTAGTGTCAATGTTAAAGGCTGATTAGAATGAAAATCAAATCACAGAACATGGATTCCTTTCACCTTCAGAACTGCCTTAATTCTACGAGGCATTGATTCAACAAGGTGCTGAAAGCATTCTTTAGAAATGTTGGCCCATATTAATAGGATAGCATCTTGCAGTTGATGGAGATTTGTGGGATGTACATCCAGGGCACGAAGCTCCCGTTCCACCACATCCCAAAGATGCTCTATTGGGTTGAGATTTGGTGACTGTGGGCGCCATTTTAGTACAGTGAACTCATTGTCATGTTCAAGAAACCAATTTGAAATGATTTGAGATCAGAGGTTGGGTACATGGTGGCCATAACGGGATGGACTTGGTCAGAAACAATGCTCAGGTAGGCCATGCCCAATTGGCACTAAGGGGCCTAAAGTGTGCCAAGAAAACATCCCGCACACCATTACACCACCACCACCAGCCTGCACAGTGGTAACAAGGCATGATGAATCCACGTTATCATTCTGTTTACGCCAAATTCTGACTCTACCATCTGAATGTCTCAACAGAAATCGAGACTCGCAACATTTTTCCAGTCTTCAACGGTCCAATTTTGGTGAGCTCTTCCAAATTGTAGCGTCTTTATCCTATTTGTAGTGGATAAATAAAGTATTCTGAAGCAAAACCATGCTTTTTCTAAAGAAAAATATCCATATTTATAACAGTGATTATAGTTATAGTTAGGGTTGGGTATCGTTTGAATTTTGAACGATCTGATTCCGATTCCGATTCCTTGTTTCGATTCCGGTTCCTAACGATTCTCGATTTCGATTCTTTTAAGAGGCAGGGTCAAAAAGTTTAGCTAACCTTGCTAACCAACGGTCTTTCTGAAGGAAATACTCCTTCTATCACAAATACTTGTCACAAATTTTGCATTTTGCCGAGATTTCGTTAATTTTTAGAAAAGTGACGCCACACTTTGGACCGCCGACGTAAGCTACTCATGTTCGACTCGCGCGGTTATGCCAACACTTCCGGTAGACGCTTCTTCGTTGGTGTTGTTCAGCGGTTTCTTCTTCCGCTCGGCGGACTGTGAATATCGAAACTAGGAACTGAAATTTTAACTTTTGAACGATTCCGGGAAAAACGAAAAGTTAGTCCCGGTTCCAATCGATACTCGATTCTCGATACCCAACCTTAGTTATAGTTATGGCTTCGCTCCATGGCTTTCGAACAGTTCCCGTAAATGAATACATTGCAACATGTTACAAATAAGAAACGGGCAAG